GCTAAGGCGGGGCTGGAGAGGAGGCTCGTCGAGATCGAGCGAGCTATTTTGATGGAGCATAAAAAGGGCTTTGTCAAGGCAGCTCGTCAGGCAAGGTTGCTTGCACCTAGGGTCGACCTTTCTGCTATGCATGTGGAGAAAGAGGTGCGAGCTGGGCGGCTGGTGAAGGAAGACGACCTCCCTGATAGCTCGAGTGAGAATACCACTGCCTAGGCCGCTGTTTTTGTAATAACTTAGTTTATTTTTCTATTTTTCTCGCTTTCTGAACTTGGATTTTGTGTTGAAGAACTCGTTTATGTATATAATTTGCTTTTTTCATTTGCGGTTTTTGTCTTGCTTTTCTGATGATCCTCGTTTTGGTAAGGTTCGCATTCGACCTTGGTTTTAGGTTAAAGTAGTTCGCTCCAAGGTTCGAATTCGACCTTGGCTTAGCATAATGTGATTCACACCAAGGTTCGAATTCGACCTTGGTCTCTCATAATGTAATTCGTACCAAGGTTCAAATTCGACCCTAGCTTGACGTAAATTAGTTTGTACCAAGGTTTGAGTTCGACCTTGGCTTATCGTAAAGTAATTCGCACCAAGGTTTGAATTCGACCTTGGCTTATCGTAAAGTAATTCGCGCCGAGGTTCGAATTCGACCTTGGCTTAACATAAAGTAATTCGCACCAAGGTTCGAATTCGACCTTGGCTTAACATAGAGTAATTTGCATCAATGTTCGAATTCGACCTTAGCTTAACATAGAGTAATTCGTACCAAGGTTCGAACTCAACCCTGGCTTAGCGTAAAGTAATTTGTACCAAGGTTCGAATTCGACCTTAGCTTAACATAGAGTAATTTGCACCGAAGTTTGAACTCGACCTTGGCTTAGCGTAAAGTAATTTACACCAAGGTTCGAATTCGACCTTAGCTTAATAGGGTATAATTTGTTCCAAAGCGGTGTAAAATTGAGAAGTGTTGGGTGGAATGAATCATTTTATTGATATTGTGGGTATGCCTCGTTAAAAACCCTCTCAGCCAAAACCCATTTTTCTATTTTTTGGGACAAAAGACTGAGTCGGGAAAAGAGTGCACAACCCATTTGTACATTTTCAGCTAAAGTAAAACTTGAGATGCATGGCATTCCAAGTTCGTGGGATGGCTTTGCCGCTGAGCTCCTCTAGTCGGTACGCCCCATTTTCTAAATCTTCTGTGATTCGAAATGGGCCATCCCAGTTAGGCGTGAGCTTCCCTTATGACAAGTCTCTTCGTGCTTCTCCTAGTAGTCGCCATACCAGGTCGCCGACCCGGAAAGAGCGAGGTCGGACTCGTGTGTTATATCTTCTGGAAGCTCAGAGTTTTCAGGCTTCTTCATGGATCCGAGCTTCCTCTCTAAGCTCGTTAATCAGGTCGAGGTTGACCGCCACTTCTTGAGTGTTTTGCTCATTGTCGAAGGCACAACGTCGATGAGACGTCTCGCCGACCTCCACGGAGATCATGGCATCGGCTCTGAAGGTCAGCTTGTAAGGCGTTTCCTGCGTTGTTGACTGGGGGGTATAGTGGTATGCCCAGAGGATGCTAGGGAGCTCGTCGACCCATTATCCCTTGGCGCTTCCTAGCCGCTTCTTTAGTTCTCGGAGTATTACTTTATTCGTGGCTTCGGCTTGGCCATTGGTTTGGGGAGGCTCCACCGAGGTTGGGAGATGTTTGATTCCGAGCTCTCGGAGAAAGTCTACGAAGCTCTATGAGATGAACTGTCTGCCGTTATTGGTGACGAGAGAATGCGGG